ACAGAAAATCTTTCAGCAGACTTTACACAAACCAAGAGGAAGAATTTACCTGATACCTGATCTGCAGCCATTGCTGCTACTCATATAACTTTCGGTTAGGATGCACAAAGGAGCAGAGTACATAAACAGAAGTTTGACAAGGGATGAAAACCAGACATAGTCCTGACAGGTGGATTTTTTTAACACTTTGTTCATTCAGTATGTTTTCAAAGTAAAAAAAAAAAAAAATTATTATCAGAGGTTAGGAAGCAGAAAAAAAGTTAAAATTACATATAAGAATTTGTAAAGAAGGCTGATTAAGAGAGTACTCTGTATTTTTCAACCTATAGTACAGCAATTCCTCAACACATTTGTCTGAAACACTTTTCAGACAGCAATGTCAGAATTTATCCCAAGAGAAATAAATGCATTAGTAGCCCCAGTTTTCGGTGTCTCATCAAAATTTTGTCTTTCTTTTTTCTTTTTTTTTTTTTTTTTTTTCTTGTGGGGGGGGGGAAGACAGGGAGAGGAGAAGAGTCGGGGGGAAGACATACCATTTAAAATATTGAATCTTTGGGGGATTTGGGAGGTGCTAGGTTAATCAAATTGAGTACCCAAAATTTCTTTTCACCTGCTGACACGTTCCTTGCAATTTGCAGTTCATTGAAAACCATTTACTATTGTTATAGGTAGATTAAGGCCAATCACATCCAAATATGGATTAATGAATCTTTATTAAGGTAAGAGAGCAAATGCAGCGCTGAGGTGGCAGAGGAGTCGCAGCTCCGTCCAGGCTCACCAAATTGTTTAAGTTTCAAACCCCCTTTTATCCACTCAGCTGCCAGTTTCAACACCTTCAGCACGCCTCCTGGCTTCTTCTACAGTCTTATCTTCTTTCTTCAGTCCTGCGGTCACATACACCTTGTCCTTCAAGTCTGGGCCAATTTGCAGCTCCTTTGTCTTTTATGGCTCAGTGGTTTCAGTTCCTCTCTTATCTCAAGGACAAGGGATACCAGGGATGGCCCATTCTGTTCTTTCTCAATCCATTGCAAAGGAGTTACCACCCTTTGATATGGATCATCTGGTGAGCATCCCAAGAGGGGGGGCTGTTGGGTTGGTGTTTCCTCAGATCAATTCCCCCCTTTTCCCAGTAGTAAAGTCTTTTACTTTTCTTAAAATTTGGATCATTGTACTAATAATAGCTCTAGCTTAAGAATTGTTTAATTACTTTTAGCGAAAGCAAAATTCTTCTATTACTTATCACACTATGTTAGAATTCTCATTCAGAACCTGAGGATCACTGCAAGAAATTTAAAGATATCTTAAATATGCATATAGAAGAGATCCTTTCCTCTTCTACACTTACTTGCCCTCTAGAAAAACAATCTTCTCACAATCAAATACTAGATAGTTAAAATAAACAGCAGACTTGCTACCACAGCCATTTTGAGTAGGAGTGTAAAAATACGGTATTCCATGATGATCTAGCTATATCAGTAAAACCTTTTTGCAGACAAAACAGAAGCACTTAATTTAATTCATCACCAGGTGTAACTGTCAGTATATGGTGATTTCTAGCAAACCTTCTACAGAATCTACTGTAGCAGACACTCTTTCAGAATGGAAGAACTCTCAGGATGAGAAACTGGCACTAGGAATAATGTTTATAATTCTGCTGAAACATGCAAATTTCCCTGAAAGCCTGTGATAGGACAAATACAGTGTGAAGCTTTCACAGCCTTACTACAGAAAGCTATCTCAGGCTATTTTCATTCTCAAGTCAAAGAAGTGACCTTGTGAATGAAAGCTCAGTTTGGCTTTAATTCTCTTCCACCTGCTAGCTTGAGGCAGAATATTGTCACAGCACCAAGTGATACACACCTCCTCTTCAGACTTTTTGACTTGTTTTGTCTGGATGACTGCTGTTCATTACTCTTAGTTAAATTTATTCAGTTCTTCTTACATGCACAACCACATTAATTCCAGGCAGGAAATTTGTAAATCTCATAAAAAGGGAACTCCAAGCTTGCACAATATCTTACTGATGCTATAAAATTCTACATATACATGCTGAACAAATTAACATCATATTAGTCCAAAGTCAATAGCCAACTCTGCCAGAAAAACAATCAACATGGAAGTAAATTTCATATATTATTATCTAAGACATTCTTTGAGAGACTAATGAGATAGTTAGAATTCAAAGTTAAAGTCAGTATTCAAAACCTCACAGAAATGTAATGCCAAGGGCTAATTTTGCCTTTTTTTCCCTGTTTCACATTGACAATATGGCCAACTGGATGCCATATGGACAATATGGATGCTGTTCTCCTTGCTGAAGGGCAAAACAAGATAGTAACATTTTGTCTCAAAGACTAGAGGATTTAATGAAGCTCATTCTCTTAGTTTTGGGACATTTTCAGTGCACGTTGTAGAAAAATACTGCCTTAAAGCCTTTTACAAAGCTGCCATAAAGATGCTATCCACCTTCAGACCTGTTGAACGCTCATTACAATTATATCCACATAGACCAGCAGAAATTAAGAGCGTTATTTCAAGGGTAGTGTTTGAGAATAATAATGCATCGACAGGCATAACTCCCATGAGTACACACAGTCCACTGGATAATGCTTTAGCAAAATTCTAATATATCCAGCCCTTCCTTGCCCTATAGGACTGAGTAGACAAGTAAATTTTTCTGGTAGCTTCTTTATATCAACCTAACTTAATCATTTATGTTATGAACTTTATCTGATGTCTCATTTTTTTAAACAGTATGCGATATTACTCCCCTAGTGCTGATCTAGCAGTTGCAGTCTGGCTTTTATACAAACTTCATCAGTAAGCCTCAGCTACCAAATCCTATCATAATGGTTCAAAAATCTTTTTTACATATAGGAAGCATCTCTATCAATGCTCTGCAAAACAATTATAAAAGTTAAAAAGTAAACAGACATTTAAGCAGGTAAAACAGCAAGGCCCAAGTATCAGCCAGTTAAAAGAAACACAGTTCTTCCCCATAATCCCACATGTATAGTTGACATGGATGGGACGTGTCAAAGAAAATGTATTCTCTCCTGTTTCAGACTCTAAACACACATTTCAATGAAAACAAAACAAAAACCAAATCAAACATTAAGGACACAGATGTACTGAACTACAGGACCTCCACTCAAGGGAAGAGAGAGCAGGGCTGCTTGACAGAGTCCAAACAGCCAAGAAAGGCACAAACAGTTCTGGCAGAGCTCTCCTCACTTCCCAAATAGAAACCTGTGCTTTGAAACAGCACCTACCTTTCCTAGATTCTCAAGCTGTGCAACCAGAGGGAACCAAGCAAGCTCTTCCCGCACACGCCATTTAAAGCTGCTGTAACATGAGAAAACGTGGTGACAACTACACTTTTATTTTTTAAAAGGTATGGCCAAATTCACACCTCACAATAACTATTCGCCATTACACAGACACAAAAAGAGTCAGCCTCTCAGAAAAAGAAAAGCGTTCGGTTCTGGGTGAGCACTATCAGCCAGACCCTCTGCAGCTTTCCAGAGCACAAGGAGCGAGAGACCGCCGACGCCTTAACTGCTCCACGTACCCTCCACAGACCGCCCTTACCTTGCGTGGGGCAGCCGGCTTCCCACCGCCCTTCCCGCCTTATCGCGCCTCAGGCGAAGGGCGGGCCGCCGCGGAACCGCTTCCCGCCACAGCCCCTCATGGCCGCCCCCTACTCCGGGCAGGAGGGCGCGACGCCGGGCTCCTTCGCAGCTTTCAGGGCACCTCGCCTTCTCTGTCATGTGGCTACGAGCGTCTTCAGGACATTCTTGTGGTTTTCTGGCAAAGAACAGGCAACCGCAACAGGAAGATGCACAAACGCTCCCAGTTCTTCTTCTGACAGCTGCATTTTTATGCGTGCTTCCTGCCAGCTGCAATAAACCATTCCACTCCTGTGGTTAGTTGTCAGCATTTCCACATAAGAAACATTTGCAAGAGCAGGGTGGAGGTTGTCTTAAAAGAAATTAAACAAATCAAAAAAAAAAAAAAAAAAAAGGAGGAAGGACACAAAGGCACACAAAATTCTGTGGAGAAACTGCAGTGCTGCAACAGACCAGGCTTTGGGAGAGATTTTGTATAACACAGAAGAGGACAAACTCTGTAGGGCCTTGTCTTGTTACCTTCAGGAACTGGAGAGAAACAAGTGAGTCAGATCACATCAACACTCTTAAGGCATTCTCCATGTAAGTAGCTACTTCTTCACATACAACAGGCTCTCGAGTTCTTCAGAAGGCACTGCCCGTGTATAGCTGAAGGTTACATTTACTTTGCCCAGAAGATGACAAAGAATATCTACTTGCTGTAACTGTAATTATGTAGCTTTGTGTTACTGACTAGATGATCAAATTAGTCATCAAATTAATTTCTGCACTGTTGGTGAACTCAAGTTTGTGATGAGATTTGCACCTTCTAGTACAAGATATCACTTTGTCACAGCTCAGTACTTGAAATTTGACCAAAATATTTACCTAACAAGCTGGCTAGCTACAAATATTTATTAGCTTAAACCTTCTATAGATTCAATATTTATTTTTTGGTCATTTTTTAATAAAAAAATTACATTGCTGCTAAAAAAATCACAGTACCACATACTCCCTTAGTCTCAGCCATATGATCACTTGCATTATCTCTAGCAAATGTGCAACTGGTATGAATCAGTGATCTCATTCCCTTTTAGGAACAATGCTAGAAAAATTAGTCTTGAACTGCATGGCAGCACGGTTCTATCACACAGCTCACATGGAAAAATTGCTGATTTTGTCAGCTACATCTTACACCAACTCTATGTAACATTTAGTTGTATCCCGAACTGCAGTTCCCCACTCCACAACTTTGTCCTCTGCCTGTTACTCCATCTGCCATAGGCTAGATGTAAGTAGAGTAGGACAAAAGTCTTTACACAAGCATCAGTAAAGATAAGCACTGTTTCCGTATTTAGGACTTCCTCAACCCCTAGAGTCACTCCTCAAAGATCTCATTACTGTAACTCCACCAGCTGTCTTGCTCATTATCAAGAAAATGTTTTTTCTCACAATTCTGCTGTTTTGCTACCGTAAGCCAAGGACACACTTCTTATACATTACAAATCTTTCTAAACAAGAACCACTGTTTCGTGTCTGAAAGCTTTCTTTTCTTCTCTTAGTTCAAACATCTCAGCAGATTCAGAAAACTGCAAACGGCAAAGGTAGGTTCTCTTTTTTTGGTTTTGGGATATGTGCTGCAATCTACTGTTAACAAAACATGGGGGAGGGATTTTAAAATGTCCAAAACCTTCATGTAAAAATTAAATCTTTTGCCCCATCTGTACAGTGAGGCAGTTCACAAGTTTCTTTACAAACTGTCTCTTTGCTGACTTGTATGTACAGTCAAAATTGCTTTAAGTTGTTAAAACATAATTTTTCCCCTCTAAAAGTGTCATAATTTATCATAGTCATGACTAGTTTATTACCGTTTTCTATTAAAAGACATTACAAGTTTTTATTATTAATTTATGTGCATAATCTCATAAAAGCAAACTGATTTGCTAGACTGTCAAGGCTGCTGCTGCTACTATTCAAAAGTTCAATCTACTTCCACAGAGTTAGTTCTATCTGTTTGCATACAGCCACAAATAAAATAGTGCTTTTACTTTCAGGTCCACATGCTGCCTCTCAACTAGACTATAAGGTTACTCCCTCCTTCAATTAACATCCCATATTATTTATATTTATCTTCTATACTTGCATTATTTTCATTGCTGCTGTAGTTCAAAACTATTTTTGTTGGTTCATCTGGATACGTCTGTTGGCTTTGTGCGTATATGCTCTCTCTTGTATGAAGACATGCATTTTTCATCAAGTGTTTGAAGCTGCATACTGATTCTGAAAAATACAAAGTTGTGTTGACCGCTAACAGGTAGAAAAAAATATAACCCCCTATTTCAACCCCAGAAATAATTATAGCCTGGTCCTCAATGTATTTTGGGAAAAATCTGAGAGTGTCTTGGATGATGAGTGCACTGAACTCACTCAGAAGTTTCTTCTTTCCAGACGTGCTGTCCAATCCCAGGCTCACACCTGTTCAGGGGACTTTGAATGTAGTGATGAACCAGACCGTGATCCTCTCCTGCCACTCCGACTCTGGATCTCCACCTGTCAGATACACGCTGTTTAAACACAATCAGAAAGTATCCACTTTAAATAGGATAGACTTGACCCCCGGTTTGTTTAATTTGACTATCAGTTCTGCCAGTGACATGGGTGAATATAAATGCAAAGCTGAAAATAACATCTCCGGTGGCGGAAAATACAGCAAGAGTCTCAACTTCACCCTTAAAGGTATGTCTTGCTGTATACCTTCTCAGCTCATTTTATTTTAGGGGCACATAGCCATGCCTGATGCAATGTATCTGCAGCAGCAGGAGTCAGGGTTTTGCTTGCAACAGGTGCTGTTTTGGACTGCAGCGTGTGCCTGCCTTGATGGTGAAACTGAACTGTACTGCGACAGCTATTATTTCGTTAGGCGTTGGCAGTCCTATTCTGGTCTGGCTCACTGAGCCCTTCATCCTTGATGCCCATCTCATTTGCCAGTGTTGCTGCTTAACTCTAAGTCTTGCTTTGGACCTTGTCCTATACTCAGTGATGTTTTTTCTGTTTTCTTTTAACAGAGCCAGTTTCCAAACCAGTGCTGAGCTCACCCACCTCTCAAGCAAAGAAAGGCCAGAATGTGACCCTCTCTTGTCTCTCAGAGAATGGCTCTCTTCCTATCACATACTTTTTCTTCAAAGGAAGACAGAGCATCTCTCCCCCAGTGAAGATGCAGAAGCGGAAAGCGGCTGTGATTTTTCTATTTATCAATTCCTCTAGTGATTTTGGAACCTATAAATGCAGATCTGAAAATATCTTTGACAATAATACAAAATACAGCAATGGTTTCAACTTTACCTTAGCAGGTATGCATGCATGAAGCATTTTACCACTGTCAATAAATAGGGACCACACAAAATTCAGAATGTTGTAACAATACAAGTTTTTTAGCCAGAAATTTTGGTCCTGCAATGTAATGTTCAAAATATAATTGTTTACAATAAAAATAAAATTTGAGTTTTAAAAATTAATGCAAAATGATAGAATTCCACACAGCCTAGTTAGTAACAGAAGTTGAAGTGACCATGAAGGATGACTGTAAAAGATTCACTTTTACAAGACACCCCCTGGTCCACCTTGCTTCACCTTGGGGAGGGTAGTTTAATTTTTCTCTTTGGTTCTGTGAAAGAGAGTCGACTGGCACCAGCAAACTCCCTTCCTTCTGCTGTGGTAGCATGCCCTTGACACTCTCCTGTGTAGCTATGCTAACCACAGTTAATCCAAAAGCTGAAAGAAATTCAGTCTTGATTTTAATTTACAGAAAATACTTAAACTTTGAATTGCGTAAACACTTTTTTTTTGTTTGTTTTTGGCAGAAGAGAGAAGCCATTCTCAAGCCTTGATCATTTCTCTTGGGCTGATCTTGCTACTATTCATAATAGGATTTGCTCTGGCAATTCCATTTTTAATAATTCCTTCATACAAAGCAAGTAAGTTATTTGAATGTCTGTTTCATTTTCCAGAGGTGCTCATTTATGTTGTCAGTGTGTTAATATGTTGTGCTCGTGGTATTTTAGGACGTTACTAGGTCTCCTCTTAACCAGCATAGGCAACTTAACAAGACACTGACAAGGCAAAAACCTCAGAGCTATGTGTTAGATGGCAGGTCTGGGATGGGGGAAGCAAAGCAGCGTATAATTTAATACACACAAATATTGGAAGAAATTGGACCTCATTGTTCTTACTAAAGAAAGGAAATTCTGTTAAAAATTCCCTTGGTTAAGGAGTAATTTTTATAATGAAAATAACATTACTAGGTCTGAGTATTTAAAAAATATTATGGATCTGTTTATTTCCCTCTAAAAAAAAATGATATGTGTATATAGGCATGTGTTTTTCTTTTACAATTTGCAGAAAAATTTCAGTCTGCTATGTCAACTGGCCTTACTTCAACAGAGGATGCAGAAGAGTCTGAAAACTATGTCATATACTCAGAGATTGGTAAGTTCACGTTACACCCCATGCAGTTATGAGTTTGGCTGAAGAATGCTATTACATATTATTTGTAGCTAGTATGAGCAAATTTCTTCAGGTAGGTACTGCAAAAGCAGCGAAAGGGGACAGCTACTACCACTCAGTGAACAAGTTAATATTCCTACTGACCATGCCTGGCAGAGGCATTATTTGAAGTCTCTCAGGATCCACATTCAGTGCTGTCAGCCACTCAGCCAAAACTGCAACTGGTTAAATGCACTGAAGTTCTATACAAAAATCTATTGTAAAAGAAGTAAAATGAAGAATTGCATTTTGCAACTCATGGTGAGGATTGAAATAGCCATTACAGAGGAAAAGAAAATTAAAAGACAGTGAGTAGATCAGAGGTGCAATGTCCACTTAATAAGAGACAAAAGTGGGCTATATGCAAGTTGTAGCAAAATAAAATTTACGGAGCTCCTGCATTCTGTTCAAAATTGTTCAGTACCAATAGTTCTTTATTCCATGTGTCTTGACTTTGACAAGACAAAGTCAAATCAAACTGAAATTATGAAGTAATGTTAGACAAGAAAGCAACTGACCTATGTTAAAACATTGTACTACTACAATTGCTGAAAATAAACAACAGTGAAGACTTACATGAAAATCACAATGCTATCATCTTGTAGTTTTCTACATTTGCCTTATATGTGAATGTCAGTATTTTCAAGGGAAAAAGAACCCCCCAAAACAAACCAACAGCAAAGGTATTATCTTTCCTGTTTCTAAATATCAAAAAGGGAATCATTCTCTCTGAAAAAATCTGCCTTCCTGTTGACATAGTAGACAGAATTCTAGCTGCTCTGTGCGTTGCTCTTGCCAGATATCAATCAGCATTTTACATACATAGCCTGCAAGGACAGTGACAAAAGCTCTGATAAGGCCCATGAATGCTACAAAAAGCATGGTAGATTTATATTCAATTTGGAATCTCACTGATTTTTTCCCCAAGATTACAAAAAAAAAAAAAAAAAAAAAAAAAAAAAAAGTAATTTTTCAGTCTCTTGTAACTGACTTAATTGCTGTTCATCATCTTTAATCCAGACCCTGTTAAACCAGACGAAGAATATGTCAACTTTTCCATTATTAGAAGAGAAGTTGAAAAAGATGAAGATGAAAAAGGTGAAAACCTCAAGCTATAATATTGGAACATCTGATGTGCACAAATATGTTTAGGGGAGATTTTGCTGTGGGGGAGGCAGTGCTTAGATAGTAGCAATTACATACTGAAATTGCTTACTATGGAGAAATTAAAATAAGACTCTTTTGAGGGGAAAAAAAAGCAAACAAAAAACCCCACATAAAAACCCTATCACCATCCTACGACCCAAAAATTCAACAGCTTCAGATGTTATTAGTGACAAAGTTGCTGATGAAATATTAATTCTTCTGTTGTGTATCTATACCAAAAAAAGCAATTCTGAATTATGTTATTCTGACTTTTAGCAGATAAGAGAGCATGTACTACAGTCTACTCAAAGGTCCTCATCACAGATTAAGGACAAGGTAAGATCCCTTTTGTGATTAACTTAATCATGTATTTTTAAAGAATCTTTCAGTCCTCAGATGGGATAAGTACCACCAAGTCTGCACAGAATGAGATGATGTTTAGATCCTAGTTTCCTGGCCTAATTATTTTGTAGATTGTATAGCTATATAGAGACAATATAGTTCATTCTCTACTAGCAAGCAAAATCCCCAAGTCATAACCTCTAAGGACTTTAACTTAAAATAAAAAGCAGAACAGATAAAAACTGTAATTATGACCCAAACAGTAATCCCATTAGCCAAACAGCAGCTTTTTGCCCAAATAGCACCATAAAAACCAAAATGAAACAAAACAATGCAACAGATCCTGCTGGATGCAATATATAGCCTGGCATTATATGCATCTGATGAATAAGCAGAAAGGAATAAATGATGTAAAGCTTTCACCCAGATCAAAGTTCCCATACATTTAACAATCCTCCTGAAATAGAAACCAGATTGTATTCAAATATAACCGAAAGGCTTTAGTTGAGTATTGGAAAAAAAAAAATATCTCAACTGTGTTGTCCTCTTAGGCACGTGCTAGAGGATCTGTATTTGGCCTCTGTCCTGCTGTTACCTAACAGCAAGGATGGCAATTTCTCAGTTCAACATTACTTCAGCTCTCAGAGTAGGGATAGGATGCTAAAATTAATTTTTGGAACAGTTAACTGAAAACAAAATCTGCATCCTGCTATAGGCTGTTTCTTGGATGTTTCTGGATTGTTTTAATGTCATTCCATAGCCAGTGTATGTAGAATTCCGTGAGTTCAGTAAGTCACACAGCCACACTGTGCTAACATTGCATTATAAATCTAGCATAATTATACTATGCAGCAATTAATATTACTGTTACAAATAATCTGTTTATAGTTAAATAAGCACCATGTTAATAGAATAAATTTTTAAGGCAAATTCTTGTGTTTCATGACAGTGATGACTATTAAGGTATTTGCAACAAGGCGACCAAAGCACTTTCATACAGTGACTTAACAAGCTGTACACACATAGTAGATCAGTAGATGATCAGAATCACTCAGTTTCCATCTACGCAAACTCTTGTATCTGATTTTGACTATGACGCTTGGGTACAGGATAAATACAATCACACACATTAGTCTTTTTCCACCATTTTCTAAGTACAGACATTTTTTTGTCCACAAAAATGCTTGTCAAAAACTGTTTACAATTTATTTCTTCTACTCCCTCAGTTACTCTTGATACTGGATTTCTGATTTTTATGTTTATCAAGTGCAAGATGAACTAGATTAAATGTTGAAGAACTGAGGCCATGTGACTAAAATACATTCCTATATAAAAATAATACAAAGGTACTTACTGAAGCATTTAATATTTGGAAGTCTTTTATATAAAATACCATTTTCCAGCAGAGACCACCATAATTGTGTCAACAATACACAAATGAAAGATGAATTTTTAGGTTAGGATGAAATATTTTCAATAAGACGGTAAAAATGAAGACATGAAAGAGAATATGGTTAGCCCTGCTAACATGGGACAAGTTTGTCCCTTCCCTCTTTTCAAGGTAACCTGGAAGACCTAGATGGTCTAGATTTGACAGAAAACAGATGCACCACCAAATTTTAGCAGAACTATTTGCAGAGAAACCACCGAGTTTGTGACATGGTAGAAACCAGTTCAGGAACAGACGTTTAAGAAATTCCTTTTATTCAACAAATTTAAGTTTACACATTTTTGGCTGATGTTACATACTTAGTTAAAAAGTCCTTCAGCCTAGAAATGTGCATCATTTCCTTCATGGTGGTGTCTCTGCTTCTCAGCTGGACCACTCCATTCTCCAGCGTGGCATCAGTTATCAAGATCATGAAGAGAATACTCATCTCATCGTACCTGCAAAGAAAAGAGCATACCTGTTACTGCTTTTGATGTATGAAAATTCAGATAAGTTATGTACAAATGATCATAAGCTGTTGATATTTATTTCCGCTATAGTGCACTAAGTCCAGTGTGAAGACAACAGTTTTCTTGTTGCCATTTATTGCTTTCCCAATTACATTTATTTAAATTATTTAGTACATAAAAATAATGTTATTTGGTGACCTATTACAAGAATATTTTTGTAGAAGCTGAATATATCTTTCTTATGTTATTTAACAGCCAGACTTACTTTCAAGACTACTGCACAAAACAAAGTCATATTTATTTTGTATTATGAAAAAAAATGTTCATCAATATGCTCAAGATCCACTGATATATGCTCAAAATCCACTGCTGATCAACAAATCATATATGAAGCCCTCAACCGGAATAGTAGTTTTTATCTGCACAAATAATTCCATCACGTAAACTAATGGTAATGGTTCCAGACTTGGAAGAACTTTTAAATTCAAGACTAGACTCAATTCAACTAGCACTAGGGTGCTATTTGAAATAGTACTTAAGAATGAAACACAGAACCAGTCCAGATGCAAAAACTGGGGGGTGTGGGTGGGAAACAGTTCTGTGAGTTTATGACTCATCTTAAGAAATTTTCAATAGGAGAGTCTCTAAAAGGCATTTCACCGTTCCAGAGAAACAACAATAACATGTGAAAGGCTAAACTTCACTTAATTTTAAAAATTAACTCTCTGACATTGCTCTTCATAATAAATCCAATTGAATCCAAGTTTATAGTTTGGGATACATGCCTTCAGTCATGTGGTTACTGCACTCGATGACTTCTTACTGAAAACAGGCATATTTTCGCTAGTCCACAGAAAGTCATCTTTCACCTTCATAGTTTAATTTACAAAAGACTGTTCCTCCTTACTTTGTATAAAGCTGTTCCAGAGACACCTGCACCGTTTCAAGATAACCCGGCCATACAGAAATTCTATTTTCTGACAGTTCATTGAACAATCCTTGACAAACCTGTGTTTATTTAAAAACAGAAGTTAGCAGACGGATGTTGAGGGTTTGAAATCCTACACAAAGAAACAATTAAAACTGTAGCATGTATGATATTAGCATTCCTAGCTGGTGTTAATTTTCTGGCTGAAATAATGTCAAAGTAGAAAGCAGCCTGGCAGTTAAATCTCCATTTCTATTTAAGACCATGCCAGTGTAAGTTTCCTCCCTTCTGTGGTGACTGGCTTAATGACTGACTTAAATAAAAACTTCTTTAAAATTCTTCTGAAGATGTGACCCATACGTTAAAGTAATTCTGACAGATTAAGAAGCTGAGAGGGTTTGTGTTATTTTCCTTAATTTTTCATGGAACAAATATCAACTCTATTAACAGTACTAAAAAAGCAGTGTGCTAACGCAAGGAAGGAATCTACTACCCACTGTCTGCAGTGTATTCCTTCAGCTATGACTCACAAGCTACATAGTGGGAACACTGTGAAATCTGTGAGAATCTCTGAGAATGGAAGTAGCAGCATAATTTTCCCCAACATAAACAGTGTCTGAATTGTAACAGAAGGTTACATGGAGAGTCAATGCTCAAAATTACTTTCTTGCAATTTACCTGTCTCAGCTCTGTTGTTGGACCTTTTCCTACATCCAAGGCCACTTTAACAGGGGCTAAACAAGGATGAAGCTTAAGTACCTAGTAATTTTACAAAAAGCAACAGATTACTTAATGTATTTTGTGTGAAATTCTAAACAGAGCTAGGAAATATTAGAATTTTTTCACTTAAATTAAGGTTATAAACATGCAAACATTTTCTCATAGCACAAACCCCTGAATTAGAAGCAAGCTCTATTTTAAATAACTAGCACACATGCCAACTAGGTTACTGTGGCAGACATTACTCCATTTTGGCTGAGACCCAGAAAAAAAGATGAAGTTTTGTTAGTGGAACTCCATCATCTTTAATGGAGCCAGAGTGATCAGAGACAGCCCAGCAGTTATTATCCAGTCTACTGCCTGTTCTTAAAGACCAAATGCTGTTTGATTAACCAGTGCTTTCTGAAAGCTAGCATTCTAACTCCAGAAAACCAGGGTAGAAGTGGGAATAATGATGGTCCTTGGGAAAATGCCCCACTATCACCCACAACCCACTTTTTCTACTCTTCTCAGCAACCTTCAAATGCTGCCAGAAGAGACAAACTCCTCTTTCTCATGAACAGTAGCTACATTCCAATTCCTCTTAACTCCTTCATCACTCGCATGACAGGAGCCTACCTACTCATCAGAAAGAAGGTAAAACAAGGAGACCTCAGAATGAGACAAAAATTGCTTATGTGGGTGAAGATGACCGCAGCAGCAGTCCCATGGGGCCAGCCTATTGCTACCAGCAAGAAGTGTTCTTCCAGCACCTGCTGGGGAAGGGAACAGAGGATGGTGATGTGGAAAAGGGTGACATTTCCATGCCTGAATTTACCACATCATCTGTGGGTTTTGTACTTAGATCTGCCCCTGCCTTCCATCATCTAGTCTTCCTTACACCTTCTACAGAAAGTTACCTTTCTCTGTGAATTTTTCTTTTTTGTAAATGGATTCTCCACTAGCTGTAAAGAATCAAAGAGATATGCTAATACTCCTCGGTCCAGATTTCCACTCACAGACAGAACATGAGGAATAACATTCTTCCTTCCATCTCGGCCCTGAGGAGAAAAAACCCACAAAGGGATACCTCAAAGACTGTCCCCAAAATGATTCTGTTTACTTTAAGTGTGTAATGAGGCATTGAGCTCAAGCACCCTTACTACAATTAAAATAAATGACATTTATTTTAAAAAGTTACCAGCGATCTTAGAAGTGTAACCTAGTTGGTAAGACTTTAACACTGCAGAAAGCAAACAATCAGAGCAGGGTGGGATTATTTTCTTGTTCTGCCTCTTTGATCATAAATTTAAATCTATGGCAAATACACTTGAAACTCTGCATTTTCTTTTGGAGGTTTGTAGATTACTTCCAAGTGACCACAAGAATCTGTCCCCACATTTTGAGAAACCACTACGTAACCCAGTTTTGTAGGTTGCATTACAATCTTCTGCCTTCTGTATAGAAATAAACTGAAAAATCAGGAAAGACAGGACTATCACAAGGAAAAGATTGCAATTTACTGGCAAAATACCAAGTTACTCTCACTTTATCTGTTCAGCCTGTCTTTTCAAACATTGCCATTCACTACAAGTTTGTCCTTCTCCAATATATTCAGTGGAAAGGTTTTCATCTGCTCCATTCCCCATACTGAGTGTGATAACTTCTATAAAGCCATCTGCAGTGTTTATAATCCATTAATCCACATATACTTTCACATATATGGAATTGGACAAGCTACAGAAAAAAAAAAAAAAAAAGCATTTACAGGTTCTTTTTGATGTGAGCTTAACACTTCAAAACACAGACTGAGTTTGTCTTGACATCTACTCACAGGTAGAAAGAAGTAAAGGCTATGCAACTGGCAACAGCTGTCTTGTCAATACAGCTCATTTCTGATTTCAAAGAACTAGCTCCTTGCAAAAAAAAACAAAAAACAAAAACCCAAAATACTATTTTACCTGCTTTTTAAAATGAAGGTCTGACTGCAAAGTATCAATTCTACTGCTTTTACAATGGCAGATAGACAGTCACATGCTAAGCAATGGGACCAGCAAAGAAACCATTTCTCTCACATGTTATCATCTCCATCAAAAAAAAAATTAATATAGTAAAGCTTACAAGTAATTTTGAACTATCCTCTGGATACATCTGTAACAGTTCAGTATCACCAAGGTTCTTCAGTGTTTCTACTGTTTCTGTTCCCCAAGGAAATTTGTAATGTAAATTAAATCCTCTTCTTCCTTCTTCATCCTCAAAGTCACTGCTGCTGAAGTTAGATGGGCTGACTGCAAACTGAAAATAAAAGATAGAAGAGGTGATCGTTACAGTGCATGCTGTATTAACTACAAAAAACAAGTCTGCAATGCAAGCTGAAGTCTGTGATTTTCAGCAAAAGATTTTTATAAATTATAGCCCAAATCTTCTTGTTTTACAGCATTTTAATCTCAAATCACTTACAAACACAAAACATTTCCCATTCTGCAAGTCATGTTATAAACTACTTAACAGGTTATAAATATAAGTGGTTTTTCAGTTTCTCACAATACATACATGTATTTCAGTGACAAGAATGGGCTAGCAATACAATGCTGTAAAACCGATCAGGGTGTCTATTCCCCCACTCTTTGAGATACAAAAGAACAGGCCAAAATCTCCTATGGGTATGCTGCTGTTACCTTTCTCCACCATTGGAGCCTCTGGCGTAACCAGTAATCGAGCCACTGTCCTGCAGTTCTGGGAGAACTAAACCATGCAAGCAAAGACGTGGTCCTTTCGCCTATTCTTTAAACAATAGCAAGGGCAGCAAGTTAACTCCTTCAAAAATAACAGGGAAAAGGCAAGAGACAGCTTTGAAAAATAATCCAAAAGTGAAACAAGTACAAAAAGTTGGTTTAAGTATGAAAAGGGACTAATCCCCTCAATTACTCTACCTTGTAAGGTTTTTGTTGTGTTGTTCACTTTCTGGAATAGAGTGAAAGCACACTCCAATTTGAGCAAGGCCACAAGGCAGTCTTTTGTTCACCAACTCTAAGCAGCTAACATATTGTGCTAAAGCACCTGTCAAAAGACAAATTGCTAATTTTAATAGCTGCAGGAAAAATTTTAATTTTTTAATTCTCCCGAGATTGAATGTAACGCAATACACGTGCTGTTGATATCTGCAATCCCACTAGCATTAGTGCTTTGCAAGGATTAGCTCAGCAGCCTGTAGGCTGATCCTGGTACTTTGACAACTGCAATTTTAACATGCCTCCTCTAATTGCAAGAGGAAATCATCCAATGCGCACTTCAGCATTCATGCTGCTCAGGTCCTTGAAAAGGTCACAGACTCACAGCATATCATACCATAGAATGGTTTGGGTTGGAAGAGACCCTA